AACCGTCTCACCGTCTAGCAGCTGAGATGGCCTGAAAGCATCCTGTTTGGACCGTGAAACTTCTGGCCGTGTTCATACATACTGCTTCCCCACAGCAGGCCTGACCAGTCTCCTATCCCACCTGCATACAGTATGATACACCTGTGAATGTTTTTTGGACCTCTCTCTAGGACTTCCCTGAGAGGGGAGTTAGGATGGGGCTTTGGGAAGCCTATGTGGTAGAATCCCTGGCAGCCAGAGTGGGAGAAGATACCCCCTGTGGCACTGCAGGGAGGGCACCAGGAGAGATTAAGTGGTAAGCTGAGGTACGCCTTTCAGGCCAGGCTGGCATCTCTGGGAAGGCCATATCTGTTCTCAGTCTGAGACTTCAGTCCTAGGGTCAGACATGGGCACTGGGTATGAGGTGTCCATCTTGGAAGGAGCTCTTGGGAAGCAACCACAGATGGGTGGGACGATGGGATGGAGAAAGGGTGAAGGGTTGAGGGGGCAAGAAAAGAAAAAGCACACACTGCCCTGTTTTTTCCTTTTTTTTTTTTTTTTTTTTATATATGCTATGGAGAAACCAGCATGGAGATGTCATGGGAGAGCATGCACAGGCCCCGCCCTAGGGAGTGGTGGAGATGTGTTTGGGGAGGTACTTGTTTCCAGGTCCATCCCACACGCTGTCCAGTCGGATCCTGTGGCAGGCTGGCTGTGGCTTTCTCTCTCCTGCTTTTCTTCCTCCTCCAGGTAAGGGTTTGCAGGACCTTCTGCTCAGCAAGTGGTGGCCAAGGACTGGTGGATGGGTGGCTGGAAGCAGCGCACATGCTCCACGGTAGAACTGTCTGTCTCCACGGACTTCATGTACTTGTTCAGGATGGCAAAAACCTCATTGTTCAAGATCTGGTACTTCCTGATCCGGTCGGCCATCTTCTTGAGGGGCTACAGAAGGAAGGGGATATTCGAATTAGGGCAGGACAAAGGGAGTAGAAAGAGAAGGGAGTAAGAGAAGTCAGTGAGGTCCAGAGTCCCCTGCATCAATGATCATATCACTTAAAGTCCTTTAATGGAATCCCCTGGATCTGACAATCAAGGACGGTGAAAACCTTCTCCAAGTCTTAAAACCATCTACAGAGCTACAGTAATCAGAAGTGTGGCACTGGCATAAAGGTAGACATACAGATGAATGAAACAGAATAGAGAGCCCAGAAATACACAATTATATGTATGATCAAATGATTTTCAACAAGGGCGCCAACACTGTTCAATGGGGGAAACAGCAGCCTTTTCAACAAAAGATGCCGGGAAAAATGGATACACACATGCAAAAGAGTAACACGGAACCCTTACCTTATACCATATACAAAGAATTAACTCAGAGTGGATCAGAGACCTAACCATGAGAGTTAAAACTGAAACGTTTAGAATATAGGGGAAAATTTTAATGATATGGATTTGGCAATAATATCTTGAGATACGGTATCAAAAGCAAAGGCAAAAAATTGGACATCAAAATTGAAAACTTTTGTGCATCAAAGGGACACCATCAGAATGAAAAGACAACCCATAAAATAGAAAATAATCACAAATCATATCTAAGAAGTAATATCTAGAATACATAAAGAACTTCAACTCGGGAGCTGCAGTGGCTCTGGCCAGTTGTCCTGGCACTTGAGGAGGTGAGGCTATGAGTTCAAGGCCAACCTGAGCAACATAAGAAGCTCTCATTGATTTAAAAAAAAAAAAAAAAAACTTCAACTCAACAAAAAGGACTCAATTAAAAAATGGGCAAAGGACTCGAATAGGCACTTCTCCAAAGAAGATATACAAATGGCCAATAACACATGAATATAGCACTTGGCACTGACAGTCATTAGAGAAATTCAAATTAAAACCACAACATGATGACTTTTTCACCCATCAGGATGGCTATTATTAAAGAATACGTGCTGATGAGGATGTGGAGAAACTGGAACTCTTGTGTACTACTGGTGGGAATATAAAATTGTGCAGCCACAATGGACAACAGAATGGCAGTTTCTCAAAAATATCAAATTACCATGAGATCCAGCAATTCCACTTCTGGGTATATAGTCAAAAGAATGGAAAGCAGAAATTTAAAGAGTTATTTGTACACCTATGTTTCATAGTAGCCAAAATTAACCATTTTCAACAATAGCCAAAAGGTGACAGCAACCTAAGGGTCAGTGGATGACTGGACAAACAAAATGTGGTCTGTACACACCATGGAATATTACATAGCCATGAAAAGGATGGAAATCTACATACACTACAACATGGACGAACCTTGAAGACATGCTAACTAAATTGAGCCAGTCACGAAACACAAACACTGTATGTTATATGAAGTACCTAGAAGTAGTCAAATTCATAAGGTAGAATGATGGTTACCAGGGGCTGGGGAGAAAATGTGGAGTGATTTTTTAATAGGCCCAGAGTTTGAGTTGGGGAAAATGAAAAAGCTCTGGAGAGGGATGGTGGGAACGGTGGTACACTTAGTATACTTCATGCCCCTGAATCATACACTGAAAACTGCCATTTAAACTAAGCATGTTTTATTTAAAAGCCCTTTGTGAGGTGGCTCCTAGCTCGCTCTCCTTGAAGTAAAAATTTTGCCCAGGATTTTGACAGCATGTTGTCAGCAACCATCCCTGTTTTGAAACTGTCCCTATTTTTGTTAGTAACTGCCTCTTTCTGCTTCTGGACCTCAGCCTATTGCTTACTAACTGGAAAACCTTTGAGAGAAACTGCCGCGTTGTCTAAAGTTCTGAGTTACTTCCCCTCCGGCTTACCTGTAAAAACTGTGTACTATTCTAAGCTGGGGTCCAGACTTTTGGGTGCGAACCCTTCTGGGCCTGCCGGCGTAATACAGTGTGTTCCTCCGATCCCCTGAGTGCTGCTTGGGTTTCTTGTCGGGTAAGATGTTCCAGAACATCTTCTCACTGGGTCCCTGAAACCCCACCTTCGATCTGCCTTCGTGCCTCAGTGCCTCAGCTGTCACCATTCCCCTGTCTGGGGCATCCTCACCACCCCATACCCCACTTTCCTTCTTTGTTCTTTGCTGTGGGCCATCCCGGACTCAGCCCGGGCACAGCCTCCCTCTCCTGGGAAGCTTTCTCTGCCCTCAGCTTGGTTTAAGAGTCCTCCTCTGCCTTCCCACAGCAGCCCGTCTCACCCCACACCAGCACCTATCCCATCCAGGCGTCCTGCACAACTCCGGTGTTTGCTGAATATTTGTACAGGTGAGAAACTGGCATCAGCAGAGCCTGATTGGGACAGGGAAGGTGTACTCCAGGTCTGGAGCCCAGCCCTGCCCTTCGGGGTGACCTGATTCATGGCAGTAGGTGACGAGTGGGTGACTCATGGCTTCCTCTAAACAGGTCGCCGGGCTGTAATATCTTTGTACCTGCTGTGTGGGGAGCTGGCCTTCACGAGCAGCTCCCCCTCCTTTGCTTTTCTGGTGAAAGCCTGGTTGTCAGCCCAGTCCCACCTCCCAGGCCTCAGCCGCCAGCCTGCTTACCACATTCTTAATGATTTCATCCTTCCCATCCTGCCTCTGCACTTTTAGCAGATGGTAACAGAAGTCGAACAGGTCGAAGCGACGCTGCTGGCCCAGCAGGACGATGATGGAGCAGCCAGCCCAGTTCAAGCCATCACCAAAACACTGCCTAGGAGCAGGGGGAGAAAGCAGCTGGAGTTGAGAGGTAGGGGAGGAGGAGAGGGAGGGAGGGAGACTCATCTTGGGGGGCCAGGAGTACAGCTACTAAGGAAGCCTGTGTTTGGGCCAAGTCTCTTAATCTATAAAATGGGTACAAAGGAAGCTGTGAGGGGGGATTCGTTAGTTCCAGGGATGGTTATGTCATATAAAGTCATTCCAGCCACAAAGAGGTGTCAGCCTCGTTGCATCACTAATGTTAAAAAAAAAAAAATCGGCTCTGAATTTGCCAGGAAAAACCCACCCAGCCTTTGAGATTTATGTGGCTGATTACTCCCTGCAGACCGAAGGAGAATCTGTCTTGACTCTCTAAAGGAGCTTAAGGAACACCCGTGGGGTGAAGGGCCGTTTCAAACCAGGAGGCCAACTGGCCAGAGTAGGCGGAGAGGGAGGGGACAGGCCGTGGTGGGCAGATGTTGCTGGGGTTGAGGCTGAGTCCTTTTGGTTCTGACAAAGCTCTGACTACAGTCCCCCAACTCTCAGGAGACCCAGGCAGTTTGGATGGCAGCAAGGTCATCCTTCAACTATCTCTTTTGTCCTTAAGCAGCAGCCCCAGCTCAACCTGGGGAGGTGTCCCCAGTTCCCCATCACTGTGCTGGAATCTTGTAGGCCAGTGCTGCTCTGAAACAGCCTTACCAACACCACGTTCTCAGGGAAGCTGCCCCTTCCCCCCAACCTTTTTCCTAGAGCTCGTGGCTGCTGGAGGGGAGGTCTTGTCTGCCTTTCCACTCTGTCCTCAACATGTAGCTGGGTGAGTTCAGGAAGAATTAGCCCTCCTCTGCTCTAAGGACTCCTAAAGGCTCCTCATTTTCCAGTAGTACAGTGTAGTGGCAGTGAGGTGGGCAGTGAGTCTTATTATCAACCCCCTACTGGGCTCTTTCTTGCCTACGCGATTGGCTCAGCCTCCAGGTGTACCCCGTGCAGCAATCCACACACTCAAGTAGTTGCTGGCCACCCCCAATCCCACTTCTGGCTGAACTCTGGTAGCCCCATGACCTGCAGAAGCACAGGCAGATTGGGGGTGACCCTGCCTTCTCTGGGAGTACTCACTCAGCCGTGAACTCATTGGTTCCCACAGGGATGCAGTAGACAAACTGCATGGCGCTCCACAGCCGGTGGAACTCCACACACTCATCGACGTGCATGACGCCATTGGTGGGCGGTGGGCCCCGCCAGATGGGGTCCTGCAGGTAGCTCCGGATGCGGGTCAGGATGACCTCGAACATGGACAGGCCACAACACAGCCGCTCCTTGGTCAGGAGGTCACCCTCCCGAGCGATGGCGATTTGCTGGAAACGGAAGGGCAAATACACCTTCTAGCCACATTTCAGAGCCCATCTGCCACCTCCCACCAGAGATTCCCAAACTGCAGAGCTGGCTGCACCTGGAATTCATTCACCAAAACCAATTCATCAAAGCAGGGCACTAACTTGATGATCCTGAATGCAACGGCAAGGAAGTTTCATGGTAAGTCTTACTGGCGTTAAGTAAAATCCAGGCGCCACCAGTAGTGGATTGATTTTTAAAACGATGATTTACCCATGTAATGAATGCCGGATAGCCATTGAAAAGACTGACATAATTACTGCTAGCTTAAGCTTTCTGAGTATGGGTAACAAAGCAGGCCGTGTTCTAAGCACTTGATAGGCGTTGACTCCATTCCACTCCATGAGGTAGATGGCACTCCTATCCCCATTTTACAGATTAAGAAACTAAGGTTCAGAGAGGCAGCCAGTGAGTGATAAAGCTCCCATTTGACCCAGCAGTCTACAGCTGTTGGTTAAGTTGTAGAGTGAACAGAACAAATTGCAGAAACGAATGCATATTACAATTCTACTTAAAAACATCGACAAGTACAGTCCCACAGATGAAAGTATGTGTGACGTGTGTATGTGTAAAGCCTATTTTAGAAAGACTAACATCGGTGTGGGAACAGATGGGCTTGGAGAAGTGAGTGGACTGTCACTCTTGACTTTAAATACTTCTGTACGGTTGAATGTGCGACAATGAGCATACGTTAATCTTTTAAAATTTGCCCATGATTTCAGATAATTATTTCCTTTAGAAGGGCTTCTTTGACAATTACAAATGACCTCTATTAATAATGTAAACTGGCTTTTCATCTGGGTTCTGGCTACTGCATATTTAACAACCAGCTGGCTAGACACGCTAGATGTGAAAACATATTACTACACACATTGTGAGTGAAAACATGTAGGGGTAGAGGTCTTGAAAGCTATCTGCAAAGTAAGGTAAAAGTTACAATAAGGTCTCTAAATCTGTGAACAAAGCTAAAAAAGGCAGACTTTCTGACTCTGAGATCCACAGGGGACTCATGGGATCAGCTCCCCAGTGGGAGGTTTCCCCAAGGAGTCATTTTACAGGGTGGCTGGGAGGCACCTGCCTGACTTTCCTGGAAGCTCCCTCCCTGGAGGCCCCCAGGAAGAGGGAGGGAGAGGGTGACCTTTAACTGAATCCATGAAGGGAAGGAAATCCGGAAACAGCAATGCCAGGAGTCTGTTATAAATGTGGACCATGAATGTAGTTGTCACGACAACTAGGTACTGAAAGAAATCTAGGAAACGAATTGGAGAAGTAGTTTGCCAATGTGTGTTTTAAACACAGAAGAGGGAACCCTGATTCCTAGTGACTCATCCTGATTTTATCAGCAGGAACAGCTTGTGAGCAGAGGGGGAACCGCTCAAATTGCCACAGTTAGCTAGAAATATCTCTTGTTAAAAAAAAAAAAATCCTGAGCCTGTGCTTGAGTCTGTTCGTATTCTCTTTGTTCTTACTCTTTTCTATTTGGCCCCAGAAAGGGCTCCTCATTTCAGAAAGAGAATGTCTAGTACAAGGAAGATGCTCAGTAAATAAAAAGACCCCAATTTGTTTTCAAGTCATGAATATTATTTTGCAAATTAATGCATACAGAGTTCTGGTTTACTAATAAATCTACGTTTGGTTAATCTGAATCGGTCCTCAGTGTCAGACAGTCCTGGAGTAGGGAAGAGAAAAACTGGCAACTGTGGTTATAAATCTTTAGACTTGCAACTCTGGTGCCCCCACCTACTACAGCCAATGAAAAGGGCCTAATAATAATAAACTTTCTCCCTTTCCTTTGAAAAGTGTTTGTCCTTTCCTGGTGTCCCAGTGGTTAAGAAAAAAGAAAAGTAAGTGTTTAGCCCTACAGTTTTAAGAAAAAAGAATAATAAGTGTTTAGCCCTACAGTTTTAAGAAAAAAGAAAAATAAGTGTTTAGCCCTACAGTTTTAAGAAAATAAAAATATTTCCTAAACCTCATTACCCAGAAATGAACATTCTTAAAATACTGATGTGTGATTTGTTGATGTATGTGAATGTATACATGTATGTTTAGCAATTTGAGTCCTATTACTACATTGCTTTTTTTAATAGATAAGTAACTTCAACTCATTTCCTTTAATATGTTGAAGGAATGGCTACATTTAATGGCCACTGATATAATTAATTTAGTCTTATATACTTGGTTACCTTAAAATGTTTACAAACTCACAATTAAGAACAATTCTAAAGCCAACATCCTTTTTTTGTGTTTTTTTTTTTTTAGACCAGGCTAGAGTGCAGTGGCATAAACTCGGCTCACTGCAACCTCTGCCTAGTTGGTTCAAGTGATTCTCCCGCCTCAGCCTCCTGAGTATCTGGGATCACAGGCGTGAGCCACCACACCTGGCTAATTTTTATATTTTTAGTAGAGACGGGATTTCACCATGTTGGCCAGGCTGATCTCGAACTCCTGACCTCAAGTGATCTGCCTGCGTTGGCCTCCCAAAGTGCTAGGATTACAGGCATGAGCTACCGTGCCCGGCCCACCATTCTTATACATAACATTTTGCGAGCTGCAGCTGAGCATTTTGTTAAGATGAATACTTAGTAACTGAAGGGTCAATGAGTATAAATATTTTTCAAAGGCATCTACTACACGGTGGCAAACTATCCTCAAGCAAAGTTGATCCGTGTGCATTTACCTATGTGAAGCCTGTTCCTTGTACCCTCATCCATATTCCTGTATCTCAGCCTTGGCAACATGGTGACACCTCCTCTCTATAAAAATGACAACATTATCCAGGTATGGTGGTGTGCACTCATCCCAGCTTCTTGGGAGGCTGAGGCTGCAGTGAGTTACCATGGTGCCACTGCACTCCAGCTTGAGTGACAGGCAAAGACCCTGTCTCAATAATAAAATACAGCTGGGTGAGGTCACTAACGCCTGCAATCCCAGCACTTTGGGACACCAAGGCGGGCGGATCACCTGAGGTCAGGAGTTAGAGACCAACCTGACCAATATGGTGAAACCCGTCTTTACTAAAAATACAAAAATTAGCCAGGCGTGGTGGCATGCACCTTAAGTCCCAGCTACTCGGGAGGCTGAGGCAGGAGAATTGCTTGAACCAGGGAGGTGGAGGTTGCAGTGAGCTGAGATCATGCCTCTGCACTCTAGCCTGGGTGACAATGAGACTCCGTCTCAAAATAATAATAAAAAAATAAAATACTCCACTGAGAAATAGTCTTCGTCAACTTGAGATGAAAAATTGCATCTCATTCTTTGAATCTGCATTTCGTTGATTGCTGGTTAGGGCAGATGCTTTCCTGCATGTGTTAGCACTGTATTTTTTTTATGTGGTGAGTTTTCTTTCATGTCGTGTCTTCTGATATGTCTATCATTTTCTTTTTGCTTTGAAAATGTGCTTTATAGCTACCTTCCTGCAAATACCCTCAATTTGTAGCCTGGGGTCATATGGGGAGGGGAGTGTTTAACATAGCTTTTCTTTCTTTCTATTCCATTCAGTGGGGAGTTTTTTTCTCTTTCTAACCTTCTTTTCTGAGTTTAACAAGGGATGGAGAAAACATTTGTGAAGCTGTGCTGAAGTCATCTCAATATTCCTCCTCTGTAACTTTAAGAAGTAATATGTAACAATATTCCTTCTTAAAAAACTCAACGGCTTTTGAATTCTTATTCTTCTATTATTTGCTCATCATAACAATCAAGAAAGGCAGGTAAAGCAGATATGATCCTATTTTATAGATGGCAAAATAAAGACAGAGAAAAATGGCTTGCACTAGATAACTCAGGGGTGGAGTTGGGACAAGGATGCCTGTCTTTTAACCTTCCCCAGCTCCGAGTTTTTTTCTTTTTTTTTCCATGATAGTGTGGGGCAACAAACCAGGTCACCTGAATCTGTCTCAAATAAATGCAAAGAATTCAATACTGCTCAAGCTTCCCAGCTTTAACTATGCTGCAGACTTCCTCTGTCACCGACCTAGATATCTTATGAGTACCCTGTGCCCAAACTATCTCAGAAGTTAATTATTTTGGTAATTTTTCTTTAGTCCATGGTATGACTAAGTTTTGGACTATTTCTTGAGGGATGGGAGACTTATAAAACTGGCATTTCCTGTCTCACAGAATGTCTAGGCTCTCATTTGTTAAACACTCAGCATTTGACAGATTGAGATTTCTATCAGTCGCAAGGAAATGGTGTTCACCAGAACAGGGAAGGAATTCACAGTCCTCTAAGTGGAAACACATGCCAGACTTTGGCTTGAGAGGCGGGGGATGCCTGCAGGATGACAGCAGCAGTGGAGCAGACACATTTACATGTCACTCCCTGGGTTTTCTCCCTAAAAGGAAATCACTGGAGAGGATCTCCTCTGTTTAGCCTCCGCAGGCCAAAAAAGAAAATGTGTGTGTGCTTTACAGTATCTGAGTTCTCTCTGTGGCGAGTCAAAGAACCCAACCACCATTAGCTTTTTCTTTTTTTGAGATGGAGTCTCTGTCACCCAGGCTGGAGTGCAGTGGCATGATCTCAGCTCACTGCAACCTTCGCCTCCCAGGTTCAAGTGATTCTCCTGTCTCAGCCTCTCAAATATCTGGGATTACAAGTGCCTGCCACCATGCCTGGCTAAGTTTTGTATTTTTGGGAGGGACTGCGTTTCACCATGATGGCCAGCCTGGTCTTGAACTCCTGACCTGAGGTGATCCACCTGCCTTGGCCTCCCAAAATCCTGGGATTACAGGCATGAGCCATCACACCCGGCCCCACAATTAGCTTTTAATCACCATTTTCAGAAGGAGGTTGGTGGCATGCTGGGTGACTGGCTGGGGTGGCTTCCTTAGCGTGATGTCTGTGAAGATGAGGCTCTGCATTGTGCTTCAAAAATACTTATCATGCTTTGCCAGAAGAGAGGCCACCTCTGCCCTCTGCTGAGGATTCAAGTCCTTCTGCTCTTGGTGAGAACACCAGAGAGGACCGGAATGCCAGTTAAACAGCGGGTTTCAATCCTAAATCTCTTAAACAGTCAGCGCTGGCTTGTCTCACCAGGACACCCTGTTTCTCTTCCTGAACTCTTCCCCTGCCTCCCCTGAAAATGTGCAGCTTGCTTAAATCAGTTTGAAAGCACATGCCCTTTGTTTCTCCTCTTCCCCTCTAT